GAATCTATAGACCCAACTGGAGATCGCGAACCCGGGACCTCACAGGCAGAACGCAAGCATGTTACCCACTCAGCACACGATATAGCACAACCCATCTGGGCGAGCTTGTTGCAGACCACGGACCGCGCTCATCTCAGCACTAGCCTCCATCACCCCAAAGATGGGTTGTGTGAAAAACCACGGTTATTGATTATTCTTTTCTAGGCCATTTGGTCTCTCTGGAATTCGGTATGTGTACACACAGACAACACCTTTGGGCACACATACACACACACACACACACGAAAGATGAGTTCACCCGTCCACATAAATGGTGAATACAATTATTGTAGTACCGCTGTGTTCTAACGGTACCGGGAGGTCGGATAGTGGTGTGTGTGTGCGTGCGTGTGTGTGTGTGTGTGAGAGAGGTCGGGTAATTTCTCTCTACTGCATTGTTCTATTTCTTTGTTCTAGGTTTCATAATGTTTAAAATCGTAAACCGGTCTATGGGTTGGCCATTCTACCTCATGGTTGATAGGACGCGGTAAAATTATAGTGCCTCATTCTAGGACAAACTGTTCGCAAAAAAATAGAGAAACCCCACTCCATTAGCACAGTACACACACACAGTTCGATTTGATCACTTAGAACTGGGTTCACCATGGGTTATAAAATATCAACGAATCTAATCAAACTTGACTTGAGTTTCGTGAGCCGTAGTCACCCTACGAGCTTGTATCGGTTTTCTGCAACAACGAAAACTAGTTCGGTGTCTGCTGGGGAAGCATCGCGTAACCTTAACATCCTTTAAGTGGGAATGTGTCTTTTCTATTGCAAAGTGTATATCGAACCAAAGGGTTTTTTGGATACCGGAATGCAATCGAAACGGGCATTACCTGGAGTGGGGTGATACATCGGTGCGATGAAACAATGAGGCGAAATCGAGTAGAACAACAGTAAGACAGTGGTATTAGTCTAGGAAGCTGAGCTTCAGCTCTGTTTTATAGAAGCGGCTTAAGATACTCAACCAATTATAATTCTGCTAGTGAAGACCGGCTCAGTCTTCCCACCAGATCAATCAACTCTCCAAAACTCAATGGAACTTTCATCCCCACTCATTCCGTGCTTGCACCTTCAACCTCTAAATTCTATCTTGTCTTCGTAACTAAAATCCTGCCTCATCGCTGCGCTCGATATATTATCCCATTGTGCTCCAAGTCAGCGACATCCACTCGTGACGCACCTTTCAATGGAACCCCATCATCCGAGGAATCCTCACCGAACCATCAGAATTCAAACCATGGTTGTTACGCGCTAGTCCTAAAATGTACGTTCTCAGCCGCCACAGGCACGCTCCCGTTCTTAAAGAATGATGCGATTACAAACATCAGTAGCCTTTCCCTTGTCACAGCGGATCAGCAACTCTGGTTTCCTGATTTGTTCCATACTCTCCCGGTCCATACGAGATAGGTCGATAATCTGACACAAAACGGCCTGCACACTTTTGCTTTCTCAACCCAAATCGAAACGAAGTGAATGCTTCATTCTTCTACAGAAATCAGGTCATGCGATAACATCACGTTGAACCTTTGAGATGGTGAACACAGTTCTCGACTGTGCTTTGTTCTGATGCCTAACGGTTCTGACTTCTGATTCTACACCAGTGCAATTAGTTTTCTCTCACTTTGTTTATTGATAAAACATTGCAAAACACGTCAGAAATTCTCTAAATAAGGACCTTCGAACAATCTCCATTAGTCATTCATACACCATTTTCTTCACAAAAGATGTGTGACTCTAAGGTCCATCCAGTTCATGCAACTTCCCCCTCGTAACCCGGATCTCAATGTGATTGAAAATCTGTTTTACGTTTTGAAGAGAGAGAGAGGTCAATGTGCTACCTGTACATTGGACATTGGAGGCCAAACTGCGATACCTAATGGAACACAAAATAGAAAATGACCTCATAAAAAAATTGATGGATTCTATGCCGAAATGACTGGAAAAAGTTTTAAAGAATTAAGGCAGACCAATCGACTGTTAGTGTTCACAAACTTTGCACCTTAGTTATTATCAATGTTAATTTGTGGCAAATAAAAATTGCTTTATTCTCTTTCGTTATCTCTTAACGCATAGGTCAACCATTACTAATGAGGCGGGAGTATTCGCTACATTCTGAACCGCCCCATCTGCTGAGTATAAACTAATCACAAAGACCACTGCTCTAAAAACTCATCTAGGCCTGTTCATTGTTATTTAGAAAAATATTTACTTCAGTAAAAATGTTGTTACCTATACGAACCCTCGAGTGTTTCACAAGGACCCGTTGCTTCAGTTTTGATTAGATCACTTCTGATTATCACATTTCTTAGGGAAAAAATCAAAGACGTGACGCCTGCGCATATTCTAATTTTTTTTTACNCGACTCCAATGAGTGGGCTTCATAAATCATTTTATTACCCTGAATTGCGTTTTGCCCGTAGCGTTCAAAGGTTCGCGAGACATGTGCGTTCACTTAACCGCGTAAAGCACAGACAGACGGAATTCGTGAATGTGTGATTGGTTCAAATATGAACCAATCACAGCCGCATGTGATCTTGTGGTGTGACTAGCCAATCACAATACAATGTCAGTCAGGTTTGGTCAATTGTCTGCTACCACAAATCACTTGCACGTGGTATTATTTGAGAGACGTTGGTGCCGCCTTCCTGCAGTGTCTAAGCTTCGTAGTCGCACGTCCGGCGTAGAATTGTTATCAACATGGCCCAAGCAAGTCTGTCCGAGACGTTGGCCAGTCGGCTACTGCCCTCCAGTCCAGATCCACGTACGGATGCCTATCCTCTCATGAACTCGTGGTCTCCGACAGCACTGATCTCGTTAGCCTATGTGATTGGGGTTTATGCTTGGCGAAATGAATTGCAAAGACGGTGCAAACTACAACGCGTTAATGGCACTAGCAACGGCACCAACTCTCAGAATGCTAAAAAGCTCTCGGCTGCCAATGGTCGCCAGTCCTGGGGTTTGATAAAAATACTCATGGTTCTGTACAATACTATCATGGTTTGCTATTCGGCTTACATGGCAATCGGTTGCATAATTGTGGTACGACGGATTGGTTACGGTCTGGGTTGTGAAGTCCAGCCGGATCCCAAAGATCGTTCGACCGACAGTATACTCCACTTCGGATATCTATTCTACTTCTCAAAATTTGTGGAAATGTTGGACACTGTGTTCTTTTTGTGTCGTGGCAAGGTGGATCAGGTCACCTTTCTACATGTGTTTCATCATGCAACAATGCCTCCATCCATCTGGTGGGGAGTGCGATATGCTCCAGGTTGGTTTCCGTTCGATTTCTGTTTTCTGTCTACTTGGTGGTGATTGGTTAACAGAAAAATGTGTGCCCGAGAAAAGACTTCAAGGAATGTGCATTATATTTGAGATTAGATTAAATGAGACATGTGTATATACGGTGCAGTCGGACTGACAATTTCGTTGTATTGACAAATTCTATGCAGTTCGGAGAACGATTTTTTCCACCACGATAGTCCCCCCAAATTTTTTTCGTTCCGGATATAGTCGATTTTATGAGGGCTGATTGTGTTTATGGCTCAGTCTCCGTATAATATTGTCTACATTTTGTCCACGAACAAGGTCAAATTTATTGAGATCTGTTAGGGCCATTTCATGCTCTTTGTCTAGGGGGTACTATTTTTCTTTCTGCTTCGTTCTGCTCTGCTAAGGTCTTCCACTTTAGTTATCGCTCTTCACCACCCACCCACCAAAAAAAATAAACGAAGAAAATTATTTTAATTTGCAATAACACTTCCCGCGTTGTGATACATAGCGATGAATCTCAAAAAACCTCAGCTCAAGAATTCTCACCCTTGAGGGTACTACGTGGTACAATAGTCTGCATCACTACTTGGTGATGCTATTTGGAATGGCTTTTACAAATCAGACTGAGTTTAACAATACTTGATAACTTTGAGGGTCGTACTGCTATCATTTTACACGAGCCAAGTTCTAGGAGCTTTGTTATACTGTTGGTTCGCTGAAATTTAGCAAAACCAGTTACTGTTGCCCAGTTCCATTCAATGTGTTCCCTTGCTGGATCTCTTAAGCATCGATCGACTAACCTATGTAGCTGGGTATAGTCTACCATCAGAGCCTTATCCTAATAGGCATCTTTGCTGTCGTCCGGTTCAGTACCGCGCTTAACCTATCCGGGCCTTACGTGGTTCGCCACTCCAAGTCCCTTGAGGCCTAGGTTACCGGGTTTCCATCACTAAACAGCAGGTCCTCGTGACTGGGGTTCGCTGCGTCTGCTGTTCATCACACTTGGGTATGTAATAAAAAAAAATCAACTGGCGAACGACATACAGCACATCCTCCCTTACCTTAGTCATGAGTATGCCTCTCAGCAAACCTATCCGTCCCAGGTCGACACTGATGCGATGTGAAACCATGTTCGGTCGTTTGTTTTGCACAGTTTTCATGCACTCAAAGTCGGGTGCTCGGTCACTCCGACAACCGCCGTCGAACCAGTCTCGCTGACTTCAAACGGTGATCTTTTCTCGTGCACCTTATGTGATTCTAAGAGCCCCACTCGGGTGTAGTGGTCTCTTCGAGTGGTTGCCACTGAGCCACTTCATTTACTGTTCTTGGCGTTTGTGTTCTGGTTTCTGATGTGGAGAGAATAAGTCTAACATAAGCAACCACCGGAGTTCTCCTCTAATCCACTCTAGGTTCTTGTGCTGAGCACGCGTGACGCCAAGGTTCATTCGTTTTCGGTGGTGGTAATGCAGTGGTTTAGTCGCTGTCACCAGCGTGCTTTGGATCCTATGGTCCGAGGTTCGAGTCTCACTACCGCCACCTAGGCATCTTTGCTGTCATCCGGTTCAATACTGCTCGTAACCTGGCGGGGCCCTACGTGGTTCGCCACTCCATGTCACGCGGGGCGTAGGCTATCGATTTCCATCACTGAACAGCAGCAGATCCTCGTGACCGTGACGTCTGCCCCGTCTACTGTTCATCACACTAAGGTGTACAATAAAAAAGCTTAACACTCATCACGGTTATTTTCACCATTTTTTACGCAGCAAATTCGAGAAAAACTTGAGTCGCTCACAGGACTTTTCACCGCATCCTTCGTGGTCGTTATGGGTTTCTGTGAAAACAATAGGATATAAGATATCAGTTGATCTACAGCTCACGATACCGGCAATAAAACTGGGCCACTATCTCTTCGGAGCCCTCCTCCAGTTGTCGGTAACTGGAAACTGAATTTCGTGTGCGTGGACAAATGAGTATATAAGTTATTCTTTTCGCCTCTAGTTTTATGAGCCTATCCGTGGCAGTGATCGACCATTCTGAACAGCGTTTTACCAACTTCTGTAAGTTTCAGACTCTAGTTTAGAGGTAGCTGTACTTCCTGGAAGGAAGAAACAATGTCGTGGCCTTATGTGGTTAACCACTCCAAGTCCCGGGGCTTAGGTTACCGGGTTCCACCACTGAACAGCAAGTCCTCGTGACTATGGGGCTGCCCCCGTCTGCTGTTCATCACACAAAAGTGTGTAATAAAAAAAGTGGAAGCGCAAGTATAGTCTTACTTGGCAATTGTATTGCAAATGTTTCATCACCAATCGAAGTTACATTCTCAATGCAGTAACTGGATGAGCGCGTACGAGTGTCCCTTTACCTATATAGATCGTTTAGTGATGCACAGATGTGGCGTTGCCTGATTGGCTTATGTTTGTTCTCCTTGTACCGATAGGGGATAAGGTGGACGCGGGCAGTCTGACGGCTGGTCGTTGATCTATCAGTCCAAGTGCTACTTTGTGACTTGATCGATGTCAATGTGTCAGTTGACCAAGTTTTCCGATAAATGCCAAGCTTCCAGAAATTCTCTTGCGTACTTCGTGCCTGATCGACGACTTTGATGCTGTCGAAATCGAAGTCGTGTTCTCGTGGATTGAGATGAGTGTCTTTTGGCAGTCAGTTTGTGTTCGTGCACGCAAGTTGCAGTTGATGCTGTGGATCACATTTGTTCGATTTTCCTATTCTTGTTTTTGTATAAGATTCTCCGTATGGTCGTCTTTGGTTTGTTAGAGAGGAAGCTACACCACTTGTCGCTCGTACTTGTTTTTTTCCATCTTCTAACACCCAGAATTGTTCCCAGACCGGTGGCACCTACTACTACTAGCTCGAAACCGGTTCTGACTGTTCACATTTCGTGCCTTTTTGAACAACACGGTTGAGTAGCTAACTGATCACACAGGTAACTGGGCCGTTCGGTTATTTATGGTAGGTACCTTGTCGATTGGCATATTCTCTGTCTTTCGCAAAGATGAAGCAAACCTCAACGTGCTGGCTGTTTCTCGTTCCCTTTTGATATCCATGGGCATAATTCCGCGTGCTTCGCATTGTATAGACATTCGTGCCAGCGCGAGCTTGCCTGGACAACATGAATACCGACAAGTAGCCCACCCATGTGTGTGAGCAGAACCCCCACCACATCTGGTTCTGATCAGTTGCTTGTCCCCATTACTAACGGGGCTGCAGATGAATTGACAGGATGGAAAAGCCGTCAACTCCTAGGGTCATTTTCGTCAGTATGTGGTCAGTGTAAACTTGGGGTTAAGGAACAACAACCGGGTGATAAGCTGTTTCCCCTGGGGTCGTCCTTGCGCATATCACTAGCAGCGGTATGAGACTTGATCGTGTCCATCTGCTCGTTGACCCGACACAGCTGAACCAAGTCCGTGTCCGAGTTCACCGTTCACGGACCCCGGGTCACGCCACTTCTTTTCCTGATTTAGTAATAAATTGTCAGTGCGCATGAGTGCTTAAGTCGGAGGTATCAATTTCTGGGGATAACTTATCGTCTTCCTACTGTGTGTTCGTCACAGCTGTGTAATGCTTCTGTGATGATTGCGTTTTCTGTTGAACAAAACTCACTCACCTCGCNGGGGGGGGGGGGGACAAATGCATACCCACACACGCCCTAACGTGTATATAGTCAAGCATCAATGGACTCTCAGCGAGAGAATGGATGGGATAAACATCCACAGGCGTTATTCCTCTAGCCGTGTAGTACGCACGCATATGGTCTAATTGTCTTGTTTCTCATCGGCCTATATTTCTGTTACTACTACCTTTGCGGATTTTTTCCCCTGTCCCTCTCGTTAATCATCCCCTAGTTTTGGTGATGATGTATTGATTTTGGTCGAAGTCGAAGAAACATTTGGCCTGTGGAGTATTTTCAAATTGGTGAACAGAACTAGTCGTAAATGGAGTGTGATTATGTGAGGATGGTGAGACGAAACGGCCATTATTGTTGTTGTGGTGTTGGTGGTGGTCGTCGTATTCGCGAGGCACCTTTCTATCCCATCTATCTTCGCCTCTGGAGAACACAATAAGGGATTAGAGGGAGGGAGAGAGAGTGAGTGGAAATGAATGATGGGCGGCGTAGCAGGCCATGTTCATGTTGTACGGACTACGTGAGTGTTGCTCGAAGAATGGTTGAATGGGTGATCTGATTGATTGATTGATTGATTTCCTGGTTACTTGGACCAAAATATATATGGGTAGCATTCCGGGGGAGATTACCTCCCCTCAATTTTGTGCGTTCCGTGAATGCATCATCTTTCTATTTCGAGGATGTTTAGAACTAAATGCTCAAGACTTAACTTCAGTAGTAACAATGGAGTGCATGGGATGGTTGATATGGTTACCCCCCCCCCCCCCCCCCCCNAAATCGACTAATTATCAGCCTTCTGAGGTGACACAAATCATTCTAAGTAAGCGGCCAATGATTGTGAAAACAGAACGGAGAGAAACAAATTGATTTAACACTCGTTTGGAAAGAAACTCGAATTGGAGCTAGTGCCTCGTTACAGTTGGCTTAGAGCGCGAGCTGCTACGAAATTCCCGGAACCTTTTCGACGGTTGGCCTCATTTATTTCTAGCCACTTCTAATTTGTCAGTTACTGTTTATTTCCAGTGGAGAGAAGTCAGTCTTTCCCACGGTTAGTCGAGTGGCCTAGTGCTGCATTCGTCCCAAGTTGGCCGTTTCGGAAAGCGTACGGCGAGCGCACCATATTCAAGCCGTTGGCGAACAGCTTCCTGAAGGCCACGATCGACAGACCGTCAAACGGCCGGTGTTGTGCGCCAACCATGCTTCTTGTCGCAGAACATACTCTTGTAGTGTTCATCTGCGTCATCATAGATGAGGAGATGACTCCTAGATCCAGGTCAGCCACCTTAGAACGTAGTGAGACATCATTCATCTGGTAAGGAAGGTATGGCGTCCGAAACGCATATGTGCATACTTCGGGAGCTCCTGCATACCCACCCAGTAAAGTAACTTCTCCAACTCCTAGAGGGTGCGGTGATCTTTTGACTCGCTAAAATTTCACATCGTGTAGAGCGGGCAAGATGATTGTAACCGGTAGGGAAAATCACGTAAATGAGGAACGTAGCCCTGCGGCACCCCACTAGTGACTTAGTAGCAACCAGATTCGGCCCAAGCGACTCTCGTAGCAAAAGTTCTCTGGACTAGGAAATCCTTGATTCAAGGTAACAGTAACAAGGTCCCCGACACCGTGGGCCTTCAGCTTCTCCAGCGTCCGTCCGTGCGAGACCTTATCGAAAACTTTCCTGAAATCAATGAAGATCACGTCCGTTTCGTGGTCAGCGACCTTGGCGGACGCCCATTGCTTCTGAGCAAGCCGCAAGTCCGATATACATGATTGCTGCGGTCGGAATCCATGTTGCTCCGGACAGAGAAGACTGTTAAGCAGCAGAAGGTCTTGGAGTCACGCTGATGAGACTCATCGGACGGTAGTTGGCAGTGTCCTCGCGGGCTCCTCTTCAAGAAAGGTCTTCCACTCAACAGACGGTCTGCTCATGGCTAATGATTGATTGAACAATGCGGCCAGAGTTTGGGCAGTGACCGGTATCAGTGCTGAATCCCCACCCCCTGGCAGACAATCATTCAGATTACATGGTTCCACAACCATCCTAAACTTATGTCGTTTCAACAGTTAAACTAGCAGTTATCGTCTATTTCACATGATGCTGTTTTATAAATCGGCTTTACTCCCTTCTCATGCATTCCCAGTAGATGATCATTTAAATCTGTCTAAGCGCATTCTTTTTTTNGCGGGATTGAGTAGCATAGATTTTAAGGTGCACAAGCAGGTGAGCGTATCTCGATGCTCTTCCTAGCAGGTAGTGGATTCACTAAGACGAAAACACGCATTGCTGAGTAGAATTTTCAGATGCACTTTTATCGGACGAAACTGTGTCTTAAATGGCAAAAGGCGTTCACAACCACTCATCACTAGCCCTTGGATCTTTTGCGTGTGTGTTTGTGGTAGGGCAAGCCGACCGCTTTGCGTTGACCTTTCGCTGCTCGTGAAAAATAAGTCCCCTTTGTCAGTTGTTGCAAGACCAACTTAACGGATGTTAAGTGACAAATCACACATTTGGTCTGGCTGTGAACACCTCGGGTCTGAGCAGTGTTCGCGACGCGTGAGAAGAATTCAAACGTCTTATTCCTGACAAAGCGAAAAACAGATCAATTCAAGTGTGAAACAATGCGACGAACGTTTTCTTCAAAGAGTAGAACAAGTGGGTTAAAGGAAAATCTAATGACATAATGTGAAGTTGCTTGTGTCTGAAAAACCCCAGCTCTCCATTTACAAATTAGCTTGACAGTCCTCTCATAGTTATTCCACCATGCACCGAGTGTTGCCTCGTCTTTCTCTCCACCCATACAATTTTTTTTTGAGATAACGATGAGGGAATCCGATTGGTCCAAAAGTATGGAATTCGCTGGATGGTCTAGGCGCACCTCGCTGGCACACTCATGGTTGATGAAAATGTAATCTGATCTGAGAGGAGGCCGTCTATAGAGTGCTNCATATTTATGGAAACAAAAGAACCCACAGCTACAATCCATTTTTTGTTTTGGGATGACGTTGCTAGGTCCATATTTCTTTGATGTCACAGTTAGTGGGACAACTTATATGTACAGTTACTTCCAACGATGCTCAGTATATTCAATCATTGGACCAAGAGCGAGGACAGGGTTTATTTTCTGCAGGATGGTGCCGCTGTCCATTATTCGGGGGCT